GCATTTTTGTTATTTGTTTATTCTCACCTCAAGGACACCATGAAACATGGTTATAAGTATTAAATCACATATTGGTCATGGGTCTTGTTATGGAATTCCTTGTGTTTGACAAGTGGGACACATTTTGAGACTGACATACCACTTTTTGACTGTTTGTATGGGGCTCAGATGTAGGAGCATAATTGGTTTTATGTGCATATAGAGGTGGTTAGTCAGGATAATGTGTGCAAGCAAAGACTAGCCTAATAAGGTATTTTCAAGACATGGAGATTCACATCTTGGTTAGGGGGAATACCTCTATGTACTCTTAAATCTTACGCGAACCTTGCATATATAGGTTCTTACGACCTTTTTGAGTTAGGTCTTTAATTTTATAGGGATCTAGAGTATATAGTTAGATAGGTTACATTCATCGCGCCTTACGTTAATGAAATTTGAGACAGGTCCCCCAGTTTGCATTTTTGGGACCTTAGTTTTTTTGGTAACCCCCATTTTTGAGTCATTCCCCACCCTTTTTAGTAGATCATTGATTCACTGTCAATGATCATTGGTTATTTATATTAGCCTCTACATAATAATCCTTTTTTCATATTTATGGAGTAATTGGAAAAGTTAAAGAAAAATTGGAAAAGAATAAACAAAAAGAAACATAATAGAAGATTCAAAGAAAAGCAACAAAAACAACATAAATGAAGAAAAGAAGAAACACAAAAAGAATAATATGAAATCAATTGGAAATTTAAGCTCAAGTTACCTCCTTAGAAAAAAAATAGAGGTTTTTTTTATTGTGGCTGCAATATGGGGAAAGTTGGTGACCTCCTTTTGCTTACATTTTGGATCTGAAAATTAGATATTTTTCTCTACATCTTGGGAGCTTTTGAAGGGGAAGAAGACTTGAAGAACACATTTTTTTCATCTTGTTTTCACTTGGATAATGTTTGGTATCTCTAAACTAATTTACTTTTCTTTAATCTTAACCATGTTAACCTAAGTTTATATTTGGTTGATGTTGGTTTAACCCATTGATGATTAGTTATTTTGAAGATTGCTTATGAACTTGTGGTTGAAGTTTATGAAAGTATTTTGTAGTTAAACATCTTTTTATGTTTGTTTGTCTTTAATAATGAGTTTAGTTGAATGAATGTTTGATTTGTTAGCTAAGTTCTCGATTAAGGAATGGATCTTCAAATTAGTAAGCAACAAATAGTTTATGTGTTTGTTTTCATTTCACCTAAGCTATGGAAATACTCCCTCCATAATGGTAATGTAAACATTTGATTACTTTTTGGACCTGGTGATTCTTGAAACTTAGTGCTAATTGATTTTCACAAAATTACATGTTTCATCAACTTTGTGACTTTGATCAAGGAAATATGTTATGAGTTTCTCTAGCCATTTTAATAATAAATAAGAGTTAAGATGATTTATGCTTATAAATTTATAGAGCCAAGTTAAATGAAATCACAAGTATTGCAACAAAACATCTAATGATAAGTTAACCAGTTGTTCATGTGGTGAATGCCGATATCAACCATCTTTCTCTCTTTGATTTAAATCAAACTTTTTACTTGTTTATTCGCAATTTCTATATCTTAGTGTAACTTTAGTTTCTTTAAAACAATCAAGATCAAACTCTCATTTTTACTTTTATCAACCACCTACACTATTTTAGTGTGCAAGATTTAGGGTATTTATTTTGTTAGCCTCGACAACCACCAACGTGCTACCCCTACCAACTAGGTAATTTCGCAACTACAAACCACACAATTATGTTTTTTTTTAATTGTTAATAAGCATGTTCTTCATATTCTTGTTTTCAATCAAAAGACAAGATTATTGTTCAAAACTTTGATGAATTATATATTTTTACTTTTAGTAAAATCGTAGAGTAATTGATTTTTTACATGCATAAAAACTAATGTTTTCATCAAATTGTTTTTCGGTCTAAGTTTTAATGCGTTGTCGACACCCAAATTTAAATATTTTAAAATGTTTGGTTGATTATAATTTTTATCATTAAAGTTATTGTGACAACCGCCAAGTTTGGTCAAACATAGTCAATAAAAGTCAACCTGATCAACTCAACTTGTGTTAAAATTTTAGAAGAAATGAGTCATTTCCCAATGCTTCTAATGTTCTATTGATAAGTTATAATACAAAAGACCTCTCTTATTGGTAATTATTGAATAAACCATAAATTGGGTTGGTAAAACAAGAATTTGATAATTTAATCACATACTATTTGAGTATACATAATATTCATTACTCAATGTAGTGGAATTCATAAATCTTATACTAAGTGACAAGGTCATAACAAAGGCTACAAACACAAATTTTTGGTGAATTCGTCACCAAATGCGACAAAGTCTATACCCGGCTAAACACCTAATTTTTAACAAAACAAACTTAGAAATATAACCTAATGTTCATGTAACGAATTATTATTTTGATAATAATGTTTTTTATAATAATTTGAATTTTTATAATTCAAATTAAATATTTATACATCCTTTATACCAATATTTTTTATAAAAAACCCATCATTTTTATAAAAGATGCCAAGTGTTATAAAAGTTTGACTTATTTTTTTAAAAAAATCACTAGTCACAAAGATGTACCTCCATCATAAATAAGAAACTACACTAACCGTACGGTAGTACACAATTAGTTTAATCATTGTTCCTCCATATTCCTCTACCCATCCCCCCCCCTCACTCTCTCTTTTATTCTCGGCCGAAAGGCCCTTCATCATCATCATTTTCTTCATTTTCATCTTCTTCCCCAAGGAAAAGCTCTCATCTTCCATAGCTAAAATATTCCAAGTGGTTCTTGAGGTTTTGGTAATTATTCCATTCATAATCTAGTGATTCTACACACTTGTAAACTAGTTTCAATCCATTTACACACATTATCATGTGTTTGTATCCTAGGGTCTTCAAGTGTTCTTAACTTGAATTTTTCTATCTACAACCTTTAATCCACCAACACAAACACATAAAGTGAGTTCATACACCTTCATTTTTTATTTTTCCAAGTTTTAGGGGGGGGGGGGGGATACAAGTAAACTTGTATAAATATACAAGTTGTTATCCATGCTTACTTATATGTTGTGTAAAAGTGCTAAATACATGAAATAATGTTATTACCTAGCATTATGAACATTTAGATGTAAAAGTTTGTCTAAAATACAAAACTAGGAAAAACAACTATAAACATGTTATATGTTCTTAAGAAAAAGTTATAAACACAAAACTATAAAAACTAGGGTTTTATAAACATAATATGACCTTTCTAGCAAAACTGGTTATAACCAAGTTATTACACCATTTGTGTATGATATAAACCAAAATATGTTATTTTGAACATACGTCTTAAAACTAGTTAAAAATACAAAAGATTTAGTTTTACAAAAAGAAAACTTAAAAATCTATCATTTTATGTAAAAGAGAGTTTTCTAACAAAAATAGACATAACTAGGTTATGATACTATTTTTGTGGGTTTTGACCAAAAATATGTTATTTTAAACATATAAAGTTAATGTGACTTAAGTATCACAAAAAGGTAAAAATAAGTTTCACATAGTTTATATTTCATATCTACTGTTTTGTGACGTAAAAAGCCAAAAACTAGAAAAATTGACATTTTTATATTAAAGACCCACTTATTGGTGTTAGATGTAAAATAATTGTTATTTATGAATATCTAAGCATGTTAGCTTTTCTCTCTTTCTCTCTCTCTCTCTCTCTCTATATATATATATATATATATATATATATATATATATATATATATATATATATATATATATAGAGGTATAAATGAAATATTATAATAAACTATAATAGGTATATATAGTTTATAGGATATTAACACTACTGTAACATTTTTGAAAAACATGGATAATTATATAAAGATTTATATAATTATTTCATACTATTTTATTAGCATGGAAAAATGATAATTATACATACAAATGTTTTCATTACATCAAAATGTAAACGCGTTGAATCATTTTTTGTGATACAAATTCTCCATCGTACCTACAAAAGTTATGTATTATAACCATAATCTCCCATAAGAGAGCATGACACTTGTGTATAGATCTATACAGGACTGACAATCACGCACCTAAGTTGTTTGCTACAACTAGAACGACAGGTCTGAGTGACAAATGTCTAACATTCCGACGCCTGAAGAACTTCGTAACAGACCATCTATGTTTTAGCACGGTTATAACTCACATGGGGAATCAACGATACATTTATTTTACGGGGAAACATACATTCAAATGGTTTTATATAGATTAAAACTACATATTACTATTTTAAGTATAGAAATACTTATCCATTTCGGTCTTAGGGTTTCTAAGATGACAACTCATTTTAAAGGAAAATATTGGATTTTCTGGAAACAGACACTATCGTTTTACAAGGAAAGGCTTACAATTCTTCATACAAACTCTTATGAACTCACCAACTTAATTATTGACACTTTTCAGAACTACTTATATTCTCAGGAAATCGTTAAAGCAGGTAACTACAAGCTTTTGAGGATGTAACGCTAAGGCGTTAAACAAATCTTTTCATCATCATATTGTATTTTGTTTTGAAACATATGACTCTTACAACAATATAACTCTTTCAATTATAAATATGATGGTTGTGTTTTGCTTTGATCACTATTATACATATTGTTGTGATACGATTCATGAAGTTATCCACCCCCAAACGTTTCCGTCATTCTGGTTTGGGGGTGTGGCAGTTATGTATTTTGGGTTGTAATATTATATAAAAAGTGATACTCTTCATCGCTAGAAGAAAGCATTTGAAAATTACTAATTTCGAAACAGTCTCAATAATGAAGGTTATATTCGTTCAAAACATGCTGAATGTATGTCCGAGAAATGACATCCAAATGAACTCCAAAAAGTATTATATGCGGGACCATAAAGCTGAGTCGGATCTTATAACCGCTACGATTTTCTAAAAATGAATCGGGAATGATCCGTTCCAGACCATGTGGTTATTTTTCAAAAAAAAAAGATTATTATTTTTAAAATATCATTTTAGAAATTGTAAGATTACTCAATTTCCCTTTTCAATATCTATAAATAATATAATATACGTTTATATTAAATTAATTTATTCCTATTTAAACTTTTCTAGACATCTCTTGTAGATACCTAATATTACTTTTCAATTAAATATTTTTAACTTGAACGAATGGAATTGAAAGAAGTAATATCCAGTTATCCACGGTCAAAAACAATCGATCCTATGGGAATGAGGTGGGCAGATGCGCACAGGAACATAAACGAATAGGGCAGTATTTAGTTTACGTCTCCACGTCCAAAGAGCTTCTCTTTCTCCCTCTCATTGCCTCATCTCTCCAGTAACCTCTCCGCCGGCAACCACCGCAATCCGTCGTGCGTAATCGTCCATTAATCACTACAGATTGTTCATCAACTTCGTTCAGGTTCGTCACTTCAATTTCATTCAATCCACCTCCGTTAAAACTACATATAACTCTAATTCGTCGTTAATTTTGGTTCTATCTCTCCCTGCATAAGCACTTTTGATTTGCTGTTGAACGCATATTCGTCTATCATATTGGCTGAAAAACCCTAGCTTTTTGTCTTGGTTTGCGTAGGGTTTTTGTAGACGGAGTTGTTAGAATGTTGATATCCTGACGAAATTGTTTCTTACTAAATTAATTATCACTCTTGTCTATTTATAACTAAAGCTTCCATTTTTATCCAAAAACTGAAGAACTAACAGCAAGGCATGCCTAATTTGAGGATTTCTTTGAGACATATTTGCTTTCTTTGAAGTTACTGTGGAGTCTATATAACCTAATTCAATTGCACAAGTTCATAAACTACTTATTGTAGAAAGTATTGTGAAATTTCAAGTTGTAATATATATTAAGATTTCTCATTTTTCAGAGTATATATAATGGCAATTGCACCTTGTGCGAGTAGATGGGTGGCTATGTGGGGTGTTCAACCTCAGTCAATGTTGAGTGTCTCTTCAAGTAGTAAATCACATGTCCATATGCCTCGGTGAGTATTCTTTTGATTGTTTAACCTGAATTGTGTTTATCAAACAATAGACCTATTCGGGAAATTGTCTCTGTAGATGTTGCTTTGAGCCTCCTTCTTGGATTGTAGTTGTGCATATTTGGTTGTGTTTTTGTTATTTAGGAAGTTAAGTGGGCAGCTTAATACCATAGTGTTTGTGTTTCACGAATCTTGAAATTCTTAATGGATGTATTAATTTTAATTTTCATATTACGAAAGTTTTGGAACCAAAGTTAAGTGGTTTTGAACCCATAATTAAGTAATGAAGTAGAATAGTAGACGAATGGGAACTTGTATTGTGATACCAATCTATAAGAACAAGGGTGTAAATTTACTTAGTCATACCATGAAACTATAGGAGGGAGTGTTGGAGGTTAGGTCAACATTTGAGGGCTTATGGAGAATATAGAGAAAAATGTAAGGATTTTTCATATGATGTGGATTGACCTAGAGGAAGCGTATGATAGTATTTCACATATATGATTTGGGAGACTGATACAGGGGTTACATGGAGATAAGTAAGGGTTATATGTGATATGTATCGGTAGTCGAGGACCTTTTCCAAACTCAAGTATGTTATAGTTATAGATAAATAGTTTTTTCCTGTGGAAATAGGGCTCTATTAGGAAATAGGGCTTCAGGGAGGGGTGTTATGGTATACTTTTTATTTTATTTTGGTTGGATGACTTTGTGTTGATGGTGGAGACAACGACATGGCTAAATGCTATGTTGGATATTTGTAGGATGTCAGAAGAAGAAGGGTTACAAATTAGTATTAGTTAAAACGAAATATCTTTGGTGTAATTTTAGCAGGGAGCGTAATGATTATCGAGTAGAAGTATGTAATAGGGAGCAAGTGATACACCCAGAGCTAAACGGAAAATTCTACAAGGTGGCTTTTAGCCCAACTATGTTGTATTGATATGAAAATTAGCGGATAAAGAAAACGCATTAGAGGAAAGATAGAATTTGCAAAAATGATGATGTCGATGGACTTATGGTAGAACAATGTAGACAAGATACCGAAAAATTAAGTGAAGAAAATATGTGAGAACTGAGGAGTGAGGACATGTCTAAAGGTATAGACATGAAGGAGTTGACACATTCCAAGGACATGATCTTAGATACGAGGGAGTAGAGACATAAAATTAGGGTAATGGAGTATTATTATAGGTTTTTAGTTATTATTATCTTTATGTGCCTTTTAGTATTTCATTAATTACTATTAGTATTGCGGAATAGTATTCTCCTTTCATCTTATCCAACCTTTATTTTTACTAGTTGTGTTAATCATGTTATACGTCTATCTTTTTATGAATTTATACTTTCCTTATGATTAGTTTTTCAACAACCAAAACAAGAGCATTTGCATCACCATTTTCAAGCTTCTTTTCACAAGGTTCCATGCATGCACTATACGATGCGAGTTCATTTGGTCATTCTCGTAAGCGTAGAGGTGGTCGCCTCATTGTCCGAGCTGAATCTGTAAGTTTTCTTTTTCTTTTTTTAAATTTTTTTTTTTTCAATTTGAAGAAAACTCCTTGATTTTACTTTTACTTTTGTTTACAGGATTTCTATTCGATACTCGGTGTGTCAAAGAGTGCTAGTAAAGCAGACATTAAAAGTGGTTAGTAAAATTGTAACTCCATGATACTTCATTACAGCTTCTTGAGGGATATTATCTATTCTGTTATAGCATTGTGCTTTCATTTTTGATTTTTTTTTTTATTAAGACAATATATTTTTAAAAATCAACCAAATTATTTGTATTTGGATGCCATTGCAATAATTGGGTAGATTTTTAGAAGTAGAATGTTATATAAGAAAGAAAATAAAGTAGGATGCTATAATAAAAAAAATCATGAAAGTACGTTGCTATTTCTTATTTTTATCTTCTTCTTTGCATTACCACTTTATAATATATAACAATATGTTCTGCAAATTTAATTCATACCAAGTAACTCTTCTAAATCTTTTATAATATACAGACTAATAAAAAGTTTTAAGAATTTTTTTATTAATCCCATCTCTATGGTGACCAAATTTTGTCATTGTCATCTCTTTATGCTATCTTTTATAATATACAAGTAAAAATTTAGTTAAAAGTCAACAAACTAGAACAATCACCCCTAAACATTTACAAATATACAATTTGAGTCCTCCTAGTTAAAATGTTTATAATTCTGTTAATTTATGTTCAGCTTATAGGAAGCTTGCAAGGAGTTATCATCCGGATGTGAACAAGTAAGCTTTATTACCATTTACCAAACACCATTTATATAAACTATTAGTTTAATACAAGGGTATTTATGTCTTTTCCACAAATAAATATCTTTTCCACAAATAAATAGGTCAATGTTAGCGAACCATTTAGGTTTAATTAAATGTATTTTGAGTTTATGTCTTTTAGAAATTAACACTCTTCATGATATTTCATATTTCTTCTTTTGTCCCTAAAAGTAATTATTTTCACTACTTTGATTTTGTTCCCGACATACGCAAATGACTATTATGCCCTTGCCTTATATTTACAAGTTTTTATTTATTTATTTATTATTATTTTTTTTAATGAAATCTTTATTATGTCTTTGAAGAGAACCAGGAGCCGAACAAAAATTCAAGGACATCAGCAATGCTTATGAGGTAAAAGTAAAACTCATCATTTTTTTTATAAAATCTCACATCTTCAGTAAATGACAAAATTACCCTTCTTCTCAATACAGGTTTTGTCAGACGACGATAAACGATCAATATACGACCGGTACGGCGAGGCCGGACTCAAAGGCGCCGGCGGCATGGGCAACGGGGTAAGTTCACTTCAATCCACGAAAAAGAAATCCTTTTCACATTTCAGTATTTCACTTCTAAAAATTTCCCAAATTAATCCAAACAGGATTTCAGCAACCCATTTGATATCTTCGAATCACTATTTGACATGGGCGGAATGGGCGGCGGCCGGAGCTCCCGCAACATGGCCACAGAAGGTGAGGATCAAGGCTACAACCTCGTTCTAAACTTCAAAGAAGCCGTATTCGGAGTCGAAAAAGAAATCGAAATATCAAAACTCGACACCTGTCAAACCTGCAAAGGATCCGGCGCCAAACCCGGAACCACCGCCTCCCGCTGCTCCCCATGCGGCGGTCAAGGCCAAGTCATCTCCTCCGCCAGAACCCCTCTCGGCATCTTCCAACAAGTCACCACCTGCTCCTCCTGTAACGGAACCGGAGAAATCTCAACCCCCTGCGCCACATGCTCCGGCGACGGCCGAGTCCGAAAGTCAAAACGAATCAGTCTCAAAGTCCCTCCCGGCGTCGATTCCGGTAGTCGATTGAGAGTTAGGTCAGAAGGTAACGCCGGAAGAAGAGGCGGACCCGCGGGCGACCTTTTTGTGATTCTCGATGTTCTTCCAGATCCGGTGCTGAAACGTGACGACACCAACATTTTGTACACTTGTAAGGTGACGTATCTGGATGCGATACTTGGTACGACGGTGAAGGTGCCGACGGTTGACGGGACGGTGGATCTGAAGATTCCGGCGGGGACGCAGCCGGGGACGACGTTGGTGATGGCGAAGAAAGGGGTTCCGGTTTTGGGGAAGGGGAATCGGAGAGGCGATCAGTTGGTGAGAGTGCAGGTTGAGATTCCGAAGCGTGTGAGTGGTGAAGAGAGGAAGTTGATTGAAGAGCTGTCAAATCTTAAAAAGGGTAAAGTTCCAAGTGCTAGTAGATAAGATGAAAATTTTATTTGTTTTTACTTTTTTTGGGGATATAATTTTAATATAATTAGGAATATTTTGTAGCAAAATTTTGTGATGGAATGGATATTTCTTAAATCTTGATTATAGGTGTAATATTCAAGATACTGCAAGTTGGGTAATAATGTTGACAAGTTGATACTAATAGTATTATGAAGTTTGTCATTTTTTAATGGTTATTATGAAGTTTATGTCATTTTCTATTAGTTATTGCTTTCCTGTGCACGGGTCGGTTTTGGATCCAAATCCAACCCAATTCATAAATAGTCGGTTACTGTTTTTCAGAACCCAATAGGATCGGTTTCTGGTCGGTTCTATTTCTCGGGTTCTGAGTTCGATTTGGTCGGTTTTTCGGTTTCTTGGGTTCAACTCATATACTCACAGGTTCTGGGTTTAAATCCATAGGTTTTGGGTTTTAATCCATTTTATATAAACGAAACAACAAGCTAAATACTTAAAAAAACACTAAATTAAAGTTAAATACTTCAAAAAACATAAGTCTTGCAACAAATAGTCTATCACAAGTCACGATCAAAACCCGAAATAGTCTATTAAAACCAAAACACAATCAAGTATGGGTGGTTTCTTGGGTTTGATGGGTCGGTTTGTCGGTTTTAAGTATGGGTCGATTTCTTGGGTTGGATGGGTCGGTTTCTGGGTAAAAAACCGAAACCGAACCCGATTTTTCGGTTTTTAAAAATATCAAACCCAAACCGTCGGTTTTGCTTCGGTTTCGGTTTCGTCGGTTTTAATCGGTTTCTCGGTTTTTTGGTTTGGGTTTGCTCACCCCTAGCTTTTAGATCCTTTTCATCGAAGCATGTATGGACTTTGGATGTTTGTTATGAGTGATAACGAGTCCAAAGCTCCAAATAGTTTCTCCTTAAACATTTGTTTAAAAGCATCTTCTTTGCATAAGACTCCTGTGTAGCGGTTGACAAACCGTTTTTTTTTTTTTTTTTTTTTTTTTTTCAAATCGAACCGGTTCGGTTTCGATTTTTGAATATCCATAATCCGGTTTGATTTAAATCGGTTCCGTCATAGAAAAACTCGAATCTATCTAAACCGGTTCTAAAGGTTCTAAACCGGTTCACGGTTATTAAACTGGTTTCAATATCTAAAATCTAGAACGGGTGCAAACCAACGGTTCGGTTCTTGAATCGGTTCGATTCATAGTGAAACGGTTCATAACGAACCGGTTTGGATCCTGAATCGTTTTTTTTTTTGTGCAAGTCTACTCCTGTGGGTCTATCGCCTCGTTATGGCTGATGTGAATTACCCAAAACAGTGTCATAATGAGCGAACACAACTCCACTCTTGCGTTTTTGTAAGACACAGTGGGTATAGGCAACGCCCTTATGGCGTTATCCGATGTGGCATCACCATAACAGGCGAACACCGCCCCACCCTCCTGTTATTAGGCGTTATGTTATCATTCGTTATTGTGGTAGTGGGTCGTAACGTGTATAATCCGAACGTTCCAAACTTTTTACTGTTTAAAAACGGTACAATATTCAAATTTAAACCATTTAAAAAACGGTAACTTCAATAAAAAAAATTTACTAACTAAATTATTTTACAATACATTGTGTGTATATATATATATATATATATATATATATATATATATATATATATATATATATATAGAGAGAGAGAGAGAGAGAGAGAGAGAGGGAGAGGGAGAGGGAGAGGGAAAAATGATCATTTGAGAGCTTATAGTTTCTCGAGAACCCTAGAACTAAAAATCGAACGTTGGATAAAAAAAAAGAAGGGCCAAGATGCAAGATGAAGTTTTTGTAATTAATCAGAAAAACTAAAGAGGAGGGGGCATATCAATTAAATGAGACAAGGGTAATATAGGAAACAAATACTTTGAAACTTTTCAAGGTATTAGAATTATATTTAATCTTGTAAGTATAATAACCATTAGTAAATCATGACGAATAGCCTTTATCATCCTTTGTGGTGGATCTGATTTGTACACATCAATGTGCACTAGATCCTTCAGTCTTTCACTTGACTCACATACATATATGAACACTGAATTTAGTATTAATTTCCCAATGATCAAGATTCTCATTCATCACACAATCCAAATCGTATGATTCCAAGTTTCTGTCCAATTGAAACTTGGGTGATGAGAATCCTTCCTCACTTGGAAAATTACGACACTACCACAAACGATATAACCAAGAATCAAATTCATTTCCAACATTGCTAATAATATATAAACATAAATTTTCACTAATACCATTGCAAGGATATCATAAAAAAATTTCTTTATTTATAAAAATGCCGAAAAACTTGTCCTTACAATGCAAATACAAATGAAAACTATGTTTCTATATATTCCTAAGCAATCTATCATAACTCCTAAGCAACAACTCAAAAATCTAATCATCGAACAATGCGATCAAAATCGATCTCTTCGTGACCAGACTCAGCCCACTCTTCCTTTAAACTTCCTTCCTTTTTTTTCGATCATACAAAACATCAAAATGCAATCTTATCACATCATGTATTAAGAATCTATAAATAGGAACTTAATAGAGTTAAATAGTAGATTTACCTGAAGTAGAGTCATACAATTTAACTTTACCATCCTTGCGATCTTTTAGGTAGATACGACAGCTTCACATTCAATGAACCTTTTCTTGGTAATAGAAACATATGGACTCTTTGGGAATGACACATGGGACTATCTTAGAACTTGCCTTTCTCTTATGATCAAACTTTTCGATCATGATCGATTTCTCTTCCTTAGGAGGAGAAACCATTTCCGGACTATTACCTTTGCCATCACCAATGTCCATGGAAATTTTAGATGTAGATCTTCCAATCAAATTTGTTTGACCAGTGTGCCAAATCATTTCTGATTCAGTAGCACTTAGTAAATATGTTAGATCAATGCGGGTCACGTCGTGATATGTCATATAGTAGTCCTTAACGAACTGACTATACGGCTCGGGAAGTGATTGAAGAACCAAGTCAACAACCAACTTCCTTGGGAAAATGACACCCAACATTCCTAGTTTGTCAAGGTGCGAATTCATGTTTAGAACATGTGCACATATAGATTTTCCATCTTTATGTTTACATTCAAATAAGGCTTGCGTCACCTTGAACTTTTCAAGTCGACGAAACTATGGGTCAGGGAGAATTATTGGAGGAGGTGAATGAAGAGAAGTATGATTTCCAATTCCACCTTTGCACGAAGAAGTGAATGATCTTTCACCTTTATCAACATGTGGAATATCATCTTCGAATAGAAAGCCTTTTCCAAAGGATTGAGGTAGATCATAGTTGTCAAAACTAGACATCTACAAAAGGGGAGAATTTCAATTTAGTTGACTTAATCCTTAATATAACTCCCAAATGAAATATTACGGCTAGGATCCAAAACAATAATTCACAATTCGAAAGAGGGATGCTGTAATCTAATTGCAAATTATTTGAAGGTAGGTAAATGATGATCAATTCCACAACGAAAAACTAAATGAAGAGTTAGGTTTTAAATGAAATGAAATTCCTAGATTCTTTTGAGATTCATTGAACTTTTCAATGACATGTTTAATCTTGATTATACCCTTCAAGTTTGTGACTTGGATACCGAGGATCACAAACAATGTGTGAATAACCATGAAAATTAGCTTGGCACTCTCGAGCCATTAACCACCTAATCAATGTGCCGGTTAACCACATACGCTCCATTCATATGTGATAATTATTGAGCTACCCTTTGCCACCCTTGTTACTCCAAGTTAGTGTTCCGGTTAAGCACACACGCTCCATTAACGACTTGGAAATGTCTAAAGTGCAATCTCATGGAATAGCATCAAATTCACATTTTCCTAAAGTAACTAAGATTGAGAATTTATAAAAGCGTTTAGTTACTTTATATTTCATTATACTTATTAATGAGAGTTTGTGTCCTATCCTACCCGTTCGGCTAACGACCCTCCACTAGTCAAGAGTGCGGTGGGTAAGAGTGGATACCCAATGGCGGTCATTTTACAGGCTGTTTCCTTAAATACCCCTTATAGACCAGCTTTATAAATGAGGCCTACTAACGGTAAGACTTACTTTTTACTTATACATTTATAATATATTAGACTTTTAATTTTATATAGTATAAGGGTGTACTTTAAACTTTTAAAATATTAAATGGTGTAATCCTTTAATAAATTATACTATTAATTTAGTTAAATATAAACCATATTATTGATTAATTAATTCTCTCTTTTAATTAAACACTTAATTAATCATATTAATAAAATCCAAGAGGGTGTATTTGAAAACTATTCAAAATACCAAGGTTCTAAATTTAAGATTTCAAAATTAAAGTTATTTAATCAAATTATAAATTATAAAACCATGAGGTGCACTTTTGAAACTTTTCAAAATACTTGGTTTTAACCATTTAAAATTTCAAAACAAAAACTTTTAATTTCAAATTTAAACTATAAAACCAAAATGATGTAATTTAAAACTTTTTAAAATTACAAGGTTAAATATTTGAACCAAAATAATCTTATATCATCCATATTTAACCAAATCCACTACTTTTGATAAAGACATCACATACCAATAAAAAAATCGAATTTAGGCATTAAAAATGAGTTATGGTAATTATCCAAATCAAAATCCGACCAAAAAATCGAAAATCCCGACACCAGACGAGTCAACTCATCGAGTTGGGCAAGGAACTCGTTGAGTTCAACCAACTCGTCGAGTATGGTGCCATACATCAAAAAGATCGATTTCTTATTATTTTGGCTGTTCACTCTTGCACTTATTCAATTAAAAAACAACAAGTCTCTGATACCACTTATGTGTTTTGAGCATTACAACAATCATATGGTGTATATTCAACCCTAATTTCTTTGGATCTAAGTTTTTCTCTATTGAGCATGCAAATACAAACTCGAAAGCAATAACCCTATGACTAGCATACAATTTTCAAAATCTATATATAAACTAGGGTTAGATGATTACCTTACTTGTTATATTGTAATAACAAGAACAATCCTTGTTTGATATTGACTATTGAAAGCCTAGTGCCCCAAGTGTTGCACATCTAACGGAGTCACAAACACTCAATGCAAAGGATGGCTTGGAGAGGTAAGGAAAATCGGCCAAGGTTCTTCTTGGAATGCATCGAGCCCAAAATCCTAACTA